TGTTTCAATAACGAAAAGGATGGTTTTTTGATTTCTTCTTCTTCAGATTTATTGTTTGTGTATAGGAAGGCTACTGACTTTTGCGTGTTGATTTTGTATCCTGCCACTTTACTGAACTGATTGATGAGTTGAATTAGCTTTTCTGTGGAGTTTTGGGTTCTCTATGTATAATATCATATCGTCTGCAAATAGTGATAGTTTGACTTCTTCTTTTCCTATTTGGATTCCTGGATGTCTTCTCTTGTCTTATTGCCCTGGCTAGGACTTTCCAGTATTATATTGAAAAGCAGTGGTGAGAGTGGACATCCTTGTCTTGTTGCAGATCTTAATGGAATTGCTTTCAGCTTTTCACCATGAGAATGATACTGGCTGTTGGCTTGTCATAGATGGCCTTTATGATGTTAAGGTATGTTCCTTGTATCCCAAGAATTTCAAGGGCTTTTATCATGAATGGGTGTTGCACTTTGTCGAAAGCTTTCTCAGCATCTATTGATATTATTCATAGGTTTTATATTTCTTTTTGTTGATGTGTTGGATAACGTTGATTGATTTTCGGATGTTAAACCATCCTTGTGTCCCTGGAATGAATCCTACTTGGTCGTGGTGAATTATCTTATGGATACATTGTTGGATTCTGATGGCTAAAATTTATTGAGGATTTTTTGCATCAGTGTTCATTAGGGAGATTGGCCTGTAGTTTTCCTTTTTTGTGTTGTCCTTGTTCGGTTTTGGTATTAGTGTAATGTTGGCTTCATAGAATGTGTGTATTGTCCCTTCCTTCTCATTTTTTGGAAGAGTTTGTGAAGGATAGGCACATTCGTCTCTGAATGTTTGGGTAGAATTCATTGTAAATCCATCAGGTCCTGGGCTTTGTTTTTGGAGAGGTTTTTGTACCATTTCAATTTCGCTAATTGTAATTGGTCTGTTTAGGTGTTCTATTTCTTCTTTATCTAGCTTTGGGTGATTGTAGAGTTGTAGGAATTGTCCATCTCCTCTAGATGTTTAACTTGTTTCCATATAACTGTTCATAGTAGTTACTGATTATTCTTTGATTTCTGCTGTGTCCGTGTTGATTTCTCCTCTTTCATTGATGATCCTGTTATTTGTGCTTTCTCCCTTTTTTCCTTTGTGAGCCTGGCTAGGGTTGTCTATTTTATTGATTTTTTCAAAAACCAGCTCTTGGTTTCATTGATCTTTTGGATTGTTTTTTTATTTCAATTCATTTATTTCTGCTTTGGTTTTATTATTTCTTTTCTTCTACTGGTTTTGGGTTTTTGTTGCTCTTTTCTAGATCTTTGAGCTTCGAGATTAGTTGTTTCTTTGAGTTCTTTCTGTTTCTTGATGTGAGCTTCTATGCTATATATTTCCTCTTATTACTGCTTTTGCTGCATCCCATACATTTAGGATATTGGTGTCCTCCTTGTCGTTCAATTCAAAAAATTTTATTTCTTCTTTCATCTTCCTCATTAGTCCAGTGGTCTTCCAGTAGTGTGGTTTTTAATCTCCATGAGGTAGAATGTTCCTTGCCTTCTTTTTATGGTTTATTTCTAGTTTGATGCCTTCATGGTCAGAAAAGATGGTTGATATGATTTCCAATCTTGGTGTATCTGTTGATGTTTGTCTTGTGCCCCAGTATGTGATCGATCCTGGAGAATGATCCGTGTGCACTTAAGAAAAATGTGTACTGCATTGGAGCAAAGAAAGTTTGTTCAATAAATGGTGCTGGGAAAACTGGGTCGCTACATGCAAAAGAATGAAGCTTGACCACTACCTCACACCATACACAAAAATCAACTCAAAATGGATTAAAGAACTAGACATAAGACCTGAAACCATAAAATACATAGAAGGAAATATAGGCGAAACACTACGGGATTTGCACATCAAAGACATCTTTACAGACACATCACCCAAAGCAGTGATAGTGAAGAGAAAATAAACAGCTGGGACTACATCAAATTAAAGAGCTTCTGCACAGCAAAAGAGACAATAACAAAGACAAAGAGAAACCCCACCAACTGGGAGAACATTTTTGCACCCAAAACTAATGATAAAGGACTGATCACAAAAATCTGCAAAGAGCTGATGAGACTCAGCAACAACAAAGAAAATAATCCAGTCAAAAAATGGGCAGAAGAGCTAAAAGAAACTTCTCTGAAGAGGAAATGCAAATGCCAACAGACATATGAAAAAATGTTCAACATCACTTGTAATCAGGAAATGCAAATCAAAACTACCATGAGATACCATCTCACACCAGTGAGAATGGCACATATTAAAAAACTAGCAACAACAAATGTTGGCGAGGATGTGGAGAAAAAGGAACTCTTCTGCACTGTTGGTGGGAGTGCAAACTGGTCCAACCACTATGGAGAGCTGTGTGGAGATTCTGGACCTACAAACATAGAGCTTCCATATGATCCAGCAATTCCACTCCTAGGTATTTACCCAAAGGACACAGAAACATCAATTCCAAAGAGCACCTGCACTCCTATGTTTATAGCAGCACTGTTTACAATAGCTAAGCTTTGGAAACAACCCAAATGCCCAAAAATAGATGACTGGATCAAGAAGATGTGGTACATATATACCATGGAATATTACTCAGCATTCAAAAAAGATAAACACATGCAATTTGCAGCAACATGGATGGCACTGGAAGGGATCATGCTCAGCGAAATAAGCCAAAAAGAAAAAGAAAAATACCGGATGGTCTCACTCATAGCAGGAATCTAGAAAACTTAAATAAGGACCAGGAAAATGAATATAAGAAGTGAAAATCAAAATCAACAAAAAACTATGAACCAGAGACACTTTTTGGGGGTGGGGGCGGGAGAGGAAGGATTGGGGTCAGAATGGGGCGTTTGCAATTGTATGGGGGAATATAAAAATAAAATTTAATATCTAAAAAAAAAAAAAAAAAAAAAAGAAAATGTGTACTCCGTTTTTTGGGGGTTTAGTGTTCTATAGACGTCTGTTAAGCCCAATTGCTCTAGGTCCTTATTTAGAGCTTTGGTTTCTTTACTTATTTTTTGTCTTGTTGATCTATCCATTTTGATAGTGGTGTGTTGAAGTCTCCCACTACGTATGTGTTTTCTCTGATGTCTGTTTTCAGAGATTCCAATAGTTGTCTGATATATTTTGGTGCTCCTTCGTTTGGTGAGTATATGTTAATGAGTGTTATTTCTTCTTGAAGTATTGTCCCCTTGATCATAATGTAGTGACCATTGGGGTCTCTTTTTATCTTTTTGAGTTGAAATCTGTTTTATCTGATATAAGTATAGCTGTTCCTGCTTTCTTTTTTGGTCCATTTGCTTGTAGGATTGTTTTCCATCCTTTAACTTTGAGCCTATTTTTATCTTTTGTAGCTAAATGTGTTTCCTGGAGACAGCAAAAGGTTGGGTTTTGTTTCTTAATCCAGCCTGCAACTCTGTGTCTTTTTATTGAAGAGTTTAGTCCATTTACATTTAGAGTTAATATTGATATGTTAACATCTGTATTTGCCATTGTGTTTGTCTTTCCTTTGATTTTATTTATTTATTCTTTTAATAACTTTTTTTTTTTTTTGGCCTTCTTTCATTGTTATTCGTCCCTCTGAGGTTCTGGCTTTAGGACTCCTTGTAGTATTTTTTGGAGTGGGGGTTTAGTTGCAATGAAATTCCGGAGTTTCTGTTTGGGAAAGTCCATATTCTTTCTTCAAAGAGGAAGGAGAGCTTTGCGGGATAGAGTATTCTTGGTTGGCATCTGTTTTCTTGGAGTCTGTTGACTATGTCCCTCCACTCTCTCCTTGCCCGTAGTGTTTCTTCGGAGAAGTCTGATGTCAGCCTGATTGGCTTTCCTTTGAATGTTATCTGTTTCTTCCCTCTTGCCAGTTTCATTATTTTCCTTGTCCTGGATTCTTGGGAGCTTTACTATTATGTGTCTTGCTGTATTTTTCCTTTCGTCGTGGAAGTTTGGTGTTCTTCTTGCTTCTTGTATATCAATTTTCAGCTCCTCCTTCACATTTGGGAAGTTCTCTTCAATTATCTCTTTGAATATTTTCTCTGTTCCTACTTCTCTCTCTTCTCCTTCTGGTATTCCTATAATTCTTATATTTCCTTTCCTCATGGAGTCAGATAGTTCCCGAAGTCTTTCTTCATTCTTTTTCCTTCGTACTTCTCTTTCCTTTTCTGTTTTGGTTCTTTTTATTTCTGTGTCTTCAAGAGTACTTATTCATTGTTCCATTTCATCAATTCTGCTTTCATTGCTTTTCCCAGAATTCTTTAGTTCTTCCATTAATTCTTTGATCTCCTGTATTTCTTTTACTTCCCTCTTTAGGGACTCAATTTCATTCTTCTGATCGTTGATTATTTTTCCCTTATCATTGTTTTCCTTTATGACTTCTGTCAGTTTTTTAATCACGGCAATTTTAAATTCTCTTTCTGGAAGGCTCAGAAGTTCTTCCAAGTTACTGTCGTTGCCATCTGGGGCTGGTTTTCTTTTTGTGGTGTGCTTTTCTCTGGAGAGTTGCTAGGTTGCGTGTGGTTCTTCTCCTCCCTACTGTCTGTTTTCTAATTTGCCGTATGCGTTGGGACACTGTGTAGTTGGGACTGGCCGGCATCTTGGGTGGGCTTCTCTGCTCCCCTCTGGTTCCTCCAGGAGTCATCTGTCAGTTTCAAGCAGTCTTTACTGGAGAAAGGTCCCTGTTCTAAAATGCCGATGTGGGGACACACTCCCCTGTGCGCCTGGTCTGCCCCGGCGGTGGGTTCCTGCTCCCCCTCTGGGCTTGGACTGCAGGCCAGAGGGGGTCTGGCGTGGGCGAACTTCCCCCGCTCACCTCTGGCTCCTGAGGAAGCCTTCTGCAGGTAGTCTTTACTGAAGAAATGTCCCTATTCTATAATGGTGATGTGGGACACACTCCCTGCGCGTCCGGTCTCAGGCACACTCTTCTGCGCGCTTGGTCTGCCCCGGCTGTGGGTGCTCGCTCTCCCTGTGGGCTCAGACTACTTGTTCGGAAGGGGCCCGGCGTGGGCTAACTCCCCAGCTGGCCACTAGCTCCTTCAGGAGCCTGTGCTGGCTTCAAGACGCTAGGTGGCGCCAGAGATCTCTCCTAGAGCCCTTGGGGAGCTGATTTTCCACCCAGTGGGACAGGGAGCAGAGCAGGGATGGTAGGGTACACCTCAACAGCTTTGGGGTGCTGTGTCTGCCTTGTGCCCCACCGTCGTGGGGAACCCACGCCCCTAATTTCGTGCCCCGGGTCTCAGTTCCAAAGCCCTCAGTTCCAGGACGCGGGCTGTAGCCCAGATCAGTGGCGCGGGAATGGCGCCTTTTGAATCCTGCTCCCCTGCCTGGGCGCCTGGTTCCTGCTCACTCCGGGAGGGCCTCCGCGCGTCTCCCCGCAAGCCTAGGTCGTCTCCCCGCAAGCCTAGGTCGCAGGCGCGGGGACCTGGGCAGCTGCGATCCGATCCGCGCAATCCGCGCTGCTTTCCCCGCGCAATCCCGCTCCGCGTCTGTTTTTCCAGCGCGCCACTTTCCGCGCAGGCTTACCGGGGGGGCTGTGTGCTGGTGCTGGTCTCCTCCTGGGCGGGGCTCTCTTCAATGGCGCCCGGAACTCACCTCCGCGGCGGATCCTGCGGGGGTTCTCCACAGCTCCCGTTCACAGGGTGTGGTGGCTGCAATAGTTCCTTTCCACTCACAGTCCCGCTTGCTGCGTCCTTTGTTCTTGTTGGCAGTTTTAGTTTGTTGTTTTCCTCCTCTCTGCTGGTCGGAGAGTGCCGCCTCTGTGGGCGGGGGAGGGGAGCAGGGTTCTGCGCTTCCCTCCCTTCTGGTCCTCTTTTATGGCAACTTTCTTCTTCGGGCAGTTTGCTGGAGTCGTCCGTTTATCTTCCGTGTCCCGGTTCTCACTGGGACCTGCCGCTTTTCCTCCCTATTAACTTTTTTTAATGGGAGATCTTACTCGCAGCGTCTCCTCGCCTCCATGTTGCTCCGCCCCTATTGACCCCTCTCTTGATTTTTCTAATGTGTGTCCCTATAGATATTTTTGGTATTGTGGACATTTGCCCAGTTACTATAGAAAACATACCAAATTGTCCAGGATACACAGGTCAGTCTGAGACTTGAGAAAAATAGCAAAAACACTGAATTGGTCACAATAAAGAGGAAAAAATCTGATAAGAAAATTTATTTAGAAAATTGAAGATGAAATATTAACTTTAGTGTTATCTTTTACATATTTATACCATATTTCTGAAATTACCAAATCAAAGATTCCATCATATAAGAGAGAGAAAGTCCATTATTGGTAGTTATAATTATAAAATGCTTCTTGGCTTCAAAGTTATTAAATGAGAAAAAAATAGTATCTTAGAGTTAATGGAAAATAGTACAATGAGTTAAAAATATGAAAATGTGGGGCCTCCCAGATGGCACAAGAGGTTAAGTCTCAGCAGTATGAAACTATCAGCACCCACTGCAGCAAGTTTGATCCCCGGCCAGGGAGCTAACCCACATGGCACAGCAGACCTCTCCTGGCTCAGCCACTGCACCCCTCAGCAATGTATTTCAGTCAATCTGCCTGTTCTGCTCCCCACTCTGTCTCTGGTGAATCCTCTCATCCCCCGCACCTCTGGCCTACACCCCAATTCTTGTGTACATAAATAAATAAATCTTTAAAAATATTAAAATGTGCTCATTCCATTCATATTTATAATATTTATATCTAATATATGTCTATATTAAAATGAAATTAATATTTGAAGTAAAGTGAGAACACTTGTTTGTTGTTAGTATTTCTGCATTTGTTTTCCAAATAATAATAAACTTAGCAGGGGAGAGGTGTGAGTAAAACTTTCAAAATTTCTTTTCTGATTTTGAGCCTTCGCATTTTACCCGAGCAGAAAATGATTAGTGTGTACTTCAAAAACTAGAAATTATATCTGTCTCCCTTTTGATTCCACTCAGATCATATTAGACAGCATAATTTGTTTCAGAAAAATAATTCCATAACTTATTCTTCTATTTTCCAAAGGTGTTATCAATAGAAGGGAAAATTGTGTAGAAGCTAGAGAAGGAATGGCTGTTGTGGCTATGACCTGGTAATACCATCAAGAAGGAAGACAAGTTATCCACAGCAGAACCCCCTCCTGAAGGTGTTAAGGAAATGGGGAGGTTGAAATACTGATGGATGTTCATTTCCAATTCCCACAGTTAACCCTAGACTGGCCAAAATATGGACCAGCATGCAGGGGGACTGACCTCAAGGTCTGACCACAATATGCAGCTGCTCTGGCAGAAACAGCAAGCAGCCATGCACATCACCACTTTGCAGGAGCTTAGCATTCTTCATGGAGGATTCAGTCAGATCACGTGCTCTAGAGGAAGGTAGATTTAGGCCTTTCCCCTTGTGAGTCTGTAATCAGCTGTATGTGTTGTTTCTCCTAGAGATGAGAACACGGGACTTGTGCTTGTTCATATGAGACCTAGTGAAAATGGAAAAACATGCCCAATAGCCCAAAAGGTAAGTGACATGGGTCAAAATTTTTACTTCAGTAATACACAGATAGTAACCTAAATGGTATATATTATGTTCATACAATACCACTCCTCTAATAATTAGTAATGTTTTGTAAATGTTTCACTACAAAGAAAAATATTACTTTTAATTTGGAAACTGAAGATCAGATTTTTACCTTCCATGAGTTTGCCATCTAAAGTAAGATGTATAGGGCCTCCCCTGGTGGCGCAGCAGTTGAGCTCTGGGCTGCGAAACTGCCTGCAGTTTCTGCAGTGCCAGTTCGATCCCCTGGCAATGGGAGAGGGTCCCACATGGCGCAACAGACCTCTCCTGCCGTGCCCACTGCTCCCCTCAGCAGTGTATTTCATCAGTCTGCCTGTTTTGTTCCCTGCTCTGGCTCTGGTGAATTCTCTCACTCTCCTGTGCTTCTGACTGTACCCAGTGCTTGTATAAATAAATAAATAAAACTTAAAAAATAAATAAAGTAAGATATATATATACATACAAAAATGTAAAATTAGAGGTTGAACGGAGGATCAACATGGTGGCGAGGAAACGCTGCGAGTAAGATCTCCCATTAAAAAAAAGTTAATAGGGAGGAAGAGCGGTAGGTTCCAGTGAGAACTGGGACATGGAAGATAAACGGGCGACTCCAGCAAACTACCTGAAGAAGAAAGTTGCCATAAAAGAGGACTAGAAGGGAGGAAAACTCAGAATCCTGCTACCCTCCCCCACCCACAAAGTCGGCACTCTCCGACCAACAGAAAGGAGGAAAAAACAAAAAAACTAAAACAGCCAACAAGAACAAACTATGCATCAAGCAGGACTGTGAGTGGAAAGGAACTATTTCAGCCACCACACTCCATGAACTGGAGCTATGGAGAACCCTGCAGGATTCGCTATGGAGGTGAGCGAATGGCTCCAGGCGCCATTAGAGAACAACAAAGACTCCTGGAGACCCTACAAACAGACCAAAAAGGATATGCAGATCGCGGCTGCCCAGGTCCCCGCGCCTGCGACCTAGGCTTGGGGGAGACGCGTGGGGGCCCTCACTGAGGTGAATGTCCCTCACTGAGTAATCAGAAACCAGGTGCCCGGACACGGGAGCGGGGTGCAAAAGGCACCATTTCTGCGGACACTGAACTGGGCTACAGCCTGCGTCCTGGACATGAGGGCTTTGGAACTGAGACCCGGGGCACGAAATTCGGGGTGTGGGTTCCCCACGACGGTGGGGCACAAAACAGACACAGAACTCCAAAGCCGTTGAGGCTTTCCCCACCACTCCCACTATGTTCCCCTGTCCCACGGGGTAAAAAAACAGCTCCCCAAGGACACTAGGAGAGATCTCTGGAACCACCTAGCAACCCAAAAAAAAAAAATCACCAACACCCCATAAAATAGGGACCTTTCTTCAGTAAAGACTGCTTGAAACCGGCAGAACGCTCCTAGAGGAGTCAGAAGTGAGCTGGGAAATTCACCCAAGCCAGACCCCTTCTGACCAGCAGTCCGAGCCCAGAGGGGGAGAGGGCACCCATGACTGGGGCAGATCCAGCGTGCAGGAGAGTGTGCCTGTCTCCAAATCTCCATTTTAGAATAGGGACCTTTCTTCAATAAAGACTGCTTGAAACCGGCAGAAGGCTCCTGGAGGAGCCAGAGGTGAGCTGGGAAGTTTGCCCATGCCAGGCCCCTTCAGGCCAGCAGTCCGAACCCAGAGTGGGAGCGGGCACCCACGGCTGGGGCAGGCCGGGCACGTGGAAGAGTGTGCCTGTCTCCAAAGCGCCATTTTAGAACAGGGATCTTTCTTCAATAAAGACTGCTTGAATCTGGCAGAAGACTCCCCGTGGAGCCAAAAGGAGAAAGTTCCCTGCGCAGTCAGAGGTGAACTGAAGGCCCCCTCAAGCCTGGCCCCACCTGGCACAAAGTCGGATCCCAGAGGAGGATCCAGAGATTTGGAACCCAGAGTGCAATCTAGCTGCCCCACCTCCAGGGAAGTCTGTGGGACTTCAAGACGCACATTTGTAACTAAACACAGAAGGAGGAGAGATTCTGTGACAGTGACCATTAACATACTCAAAGTACCACTGCCTCACTAGACTTCTGGCATAACAGTTTTTGACTCGTTTGGATTGCCAGTTTCTGAAACTCCCAAAAGAACACACCAAAAAGATGCCAGCCAGAACCAGCGGCACAGTGTCCCAACACATAGGGCAAATTAGAAGACAGGCAGTAGGGAAACGAAAAACTACAAGCAAAGTAGCAATGCCTCAGAAAAAAGACACACCACAAAAAAACAAACAACAACAACAAAAAAAAAAACGACCAGTTTGCAACTACGGTGACTTGTAAGAACTTCTGAGACTTCCAGAAAAAGAAGTTAAAATTGCCGTGATGAAAAAACTGATGGAAGACATTAAGGAAAACAACACTCAGAAGAATGAAATTGAGTCCCTAAAGAAATGCAGGAGATCAAAAATTAATGGAGGCACTAAAGAACTCTGGGAAAAGCAATGAAAGCAGAATAGATAAAATGGAAGAACGAATAAGTACTCTTGAAGACACAGAAATAAAAAGAACCAAAACAGAAAAGGAAAGTGAAGTACGAAGGAAAAAGAATGAAGAAAGACTTCGGGAACTATCTGACTCCATGAGGAAAGGAAATATAAGAGTTATAGGAATCCCAGAAGGAGAGGAGAGAGATGTAGGAACAGAGAAAATATTCAAGGAAATAATTGAAGAGAACTTTCCAAAGGTGAAGAAGGAGTTGAAAATTGATATACAAGAAGCAAGAAGAACACCAAACTTCCATGACAAAAGGAAAAATACAGCAAGACACATAAGAGTAAAGCTCCCAAGAATCCAAGACAAGGAAAAAATAATGAAGCTGACAAGAGGGAAGAAACAGATAACATTCAAAGGAAAACCAATCAGACTGACATCAGACTTCTCCGAAGAAACACTACGGCAAGGAGAGAGTGGAGGGACATAGTCAACAGACTCCAAGAAAACAGATGCCAACCAAGAATACTCTATCCCACAAAGCTTTCCTTCCTGTATGAAAAAAGAATAAGGACCTTCCCAGACAAACAGAAATCTGGAATTTCATTACGACTAAACCCCCACTCCAAAAAATATTACAAGGAGTCCTAAAGCCAGAACCTCAGAGGGACGAATAACAGTGAAAGAGGGCCAAAAAAAAGTATTAAAAGAATAAATAAATAAAATCAAAGGAAAGACAAACACAATGGCAAATACAGATGCTAACATATCAATATTAACTCTAAATGTAAATGGACTAAGCTTTTCAATAAAAAGACACAGAGATGCAGGCTGGATTAAGAAACAAAACCCAACCTTTTGCTGTCTCCAGGAAACACATTTAGCTACAAAAGATAAAAATAGACTCAAAGTTAAAGGATGGAAAACAATCCTACAAGCAAATGGACCAAATAAGAAAGCAGGAACAGCTATACTTATATCAGATAAAACAGATTTCAAACTCAATAAGATAAAAAGAGACCCCAATGGTCATTACATTATCATCAAGGGGACAATACTTCAAGAAGAAATAACACTCATTAACATATATTCACCAACCGAAGGAGCACCAAAATATATCAGACAACTATTATCATCTTGAAAACAGATATCAGAGAAAACACATCGTAGTGGGAGACTTCAACACACTACTATCAACAATGGATAGATCAACAAGACAAAAAACAAGTAAAGGCACTAAATCTCTAAATAAGGATCTAGAGCACTTGGGCTTAAGAGACATCTGTAGAACACTAAACCCAAAAAAATTTGAGTACACATTTTTCTCAAGCACACACGGATCATTCTCCAGGATTGATCACATACTGGGACCCAAGACAAACATCAACAGATACACCAAGATTGAAATAATATCAACTATCTTTTCTGACCATGAAGGCATCAAACTAGAAATAAACCATAAAAAGAAGGCAAGGAAATCTCCTACCTCATGGAGATTGAAAACCACACTACTGAAAGACCACTGGACTAATGAGGAGATCAAAGAAAAATTAAAAAATTCTTTGAATTGAATGACAAGGAGGATACCAATTTCCTAAATGTATGGGATGCAGCAAAAGCAGTAAAAGAGGAAAATATATAGCAATAGAGGTTCACATCAAGAAACAAGAAAGAACTCAAAGAAACAACCTAATCTCAAAGCTCAAAGATATAGAAAAAGAACAACAAAAAACCCCAAAACAAGTAGAAGAAAAGAAATAATAAAAACCAAAGCAGAAATAAATGAAATTGAAACTAAAAGAACAATCCAAAAGATCAATGAAACCAAGAGCTGGTTCTTCGAAATAAATAAATAAAATAGACAAACCCCTAGTCAGGCTCACAAAGGAAAAAAGGGAGAAAGCACAAATAAACAGGATCATAAATGAAAGAGGAGAAATCACAACGGACACAGCAGAAATCAAAAGAATAATCAGAAACTACTATGAACAGTTATATGGAAACAAGCTCAACAATCTAGAGGAGATGGACAAATTCCTACAACTCTACAATCACCCAAAGCTAGATAAAGAAGAAATAGAACACCTAAACAGACCAATTACAAGCAGCAAAATTGAAATGGTAATCAAAAACCTCCCCAAAAACAAAAGCCCAGGACCTGATGGATTCACAAATGAATTCCACCAAACATTCAGAAATGAATTAGTGCCAATCCTTCACAAACTCTTCCAAAAAATGAGAAGGAAGGGATAATACCAAACACGTTCTATGAAGCCAACATTACACTAATACCAAAACCAAACAAGGAAAACACAAAAAAAGAAAACTACAGGCCAATCTCCCTAATGAACACTGATGCAAAAATCCTCAATAAAATTTTAGCTATCAGAATCCAACAATGTAGCCATAAGATAATTCACCACGACCAAGTAGGATTCGTTCCAGGGACACAAGGATGGTTCAACATCTCAAAATCAATCAACGTTATCCAACACATCAACAAAAAG